GGTGGTGCCGACGGGACCGGAGGAAGCTCCGAGGGCTGCCCTGGCCGTGCGCAGCCCGGCCGGGGCTCTTCGCGGGCAGTCGGGTGGGCGACCCACGCTGCCGTCCCCCGCGGGTACTTGAGAGGGAAAGATGAAGGGACCTGCTCCGGGAAAAGCCCGCAGCCAAGCTGGTCGCGCCGGCGATAGGTGTGCCGGAGTCACACGGGCAGGGTCCCGCTGGGGAGGCGCTGGGTTTGAGAGGTGAGAGAGGCTTCCTGGCGGTTGCCGGTAATCGGTGCTAGCGGTAATACCTCGAGGTGGCAGATAATGAGAAGTAAGAAAATGCTGGCAGTAAAAGGTGGCGTCCCTGAGTCCTTCTAAAAATGTGTGGAGTTAGCAAGGTGCTGAAGTACTGCGGCTGTGTCCGGGGGAATGGATGTCTACGCAGTCTGTGCCATTCATTGCGAGTGCACGCACAGCTGGAAATGCAGTTACGTGGCTTATAACTGCATAGTGCTGCAGGGCAAAAATAGCATCACGTTAGAAGTACTTTATCCAGCTATGGAGTTATCTCTTGGGTACAGAGGATTGTAAGAACTCGTAAATTCTATAGAGAGGAGGTTGTGTGATGACGCTACTGAAAAGTACCCCTAATACTTAGAACTTGCGTCTACTAAGACCCCATTATGCTGCAAGAAATTTCAACTGAACGTTGTACTCCAAAGCAAAGATACAGCTACTGATACGCTGTGTCTTGTGTAGTGTCCTGTGCTCCCCATATTAGCTGCTGAGAAAATTGTGAGGAAAATAATACCATGTATTTTTTCTGTGTCTTTCCTTTTTATTATTAGGAACATTTGCATAAAAAAGGTGCTTTATTGTCAAGAATTCCTCTTTCCTTCACTTGGTGCCATGTTTTACTTCTGGCATCAAGAATAACTCCAGAATAAGTATTACAAAAATGAGATATGATAGAATGCCATTCTGTTTATGGCATTTCATGAGGTAGCTTAAAATATTTGTAGTTGATAAATTTTATTCCCTTCCTTGATACTTACTACTTTTTGATTTATTTATAGGAGTTATGCTGCAGAGGAGTGGGCTATTGTGGCTTGCTGTGTTAATAACCCTGTGGGTTTCCTCAAATGCTCAGGGTAAGTTCTGGCACTTCTTAACTGGATATAGAGTAACTCCCAAAGCTAAAAGTTGATGTGAAACATTGGCTTACCCGAGCTACATTGGGCAGATTAATCGTATGTGATTTTTTTAGAAGTGCCTGGAATAGTAATTTGGTGGATACATCTTACCACTGTTAAATGAAGATTCCCCAATAAATATTTTTTAAGAAAAAGTTTCCTTTAGAAATTGTTGATCAAAATGTATATGATCTCAGAAATAATTGCTATTATACTTTCCTCTGCAGTGGAAATGTAGGGTGAAAGTAACATAAACAGAATCACTGAGTGGGATGAACATTTTAAAAAGATAGAGGTAGAGAAGTAGACCTCTACAAATCAAATAAAGTAGGATGTAAATTGGCACAGTGCCAGGCCCTCATTTACATCTGACTTCTTGGCCTGAGTCTTTAAGAAGCAAATCTCTTGCTTCCTGTTGTCATGTGGCCACATGGCTTCTCATAATTTGTTTTTTATTAGCTGACAGTCAAAATACAGTAATTGGCTCAACTTCCTGATCCATTCATATATATTAAAAATATTTTATAATTACACTGTTACATGCATCCATGTGTAGGCATATACATGAATATACAGCATCTATATATATGTATATATATAAATGTGTATTATGTAGTGCTATAAAATATATAGACCTGTATGTTTAGTTATATAATCAAACATATTTATGTCTACAGACAGAAAGGCGAGAATTGTCATGTAGATGAAAATGACAGGTGGAAAACAGGATTAACTTGCATGCTCGTATGAACAGTCCTGTTTGTGGCAGTAGGAATGTACTGGGTTTACTCTCCTGATCTTCATATCTGTCATGTAATTGCAGTTACTGAGTATAGTGTGCGGAGTTGTGTTTCTTACAACACTTTTTGTAGACACATTGTCACACACTGTTAACTTTTTCAGATGGTGACAAGGAAGAGGAGACTACCTTTGATTTACTTCAAATCAGTAACATAAACCGAAAGACAATTGGAGCAAAATTGTTTCGGGGTCCAGACCCCGCTATCCCAGCATACCGTTTCATTCGGTTTGACCATATACCTCCATGTAAACCAGAGAAATTAAAAAAGATTCTCAAACTCATACGGCAGAATGAGGGCTTTATCCTTTCAGCCACTCTCAGACAGGACAGGCAATCTAGAGGCACTCTCCTTGCTTTAGAGGGTCCTGACATCGGTGAGAGGCAGTTTGAGATAATTTCCAATGGCCGGGCTAACACCCTGGACCTTATCTATTGGGTGGATGGCTTCCAGAATGTGATTTCCCTGGAAGATGTGGACCTTGCTGACTCGCAATGGAAGAATCTCACCGTGCAAATAACAGGGGAGAACTACAACCTCTATGTTGGCTGTGACCTTATTGACAGCTTTATCCTGGAGGAACCTTTCTACGAGCAGCTAAAAGCAGAGAACAGCAGAATGTATGTGGTGAAAGGGTCCATTCGGGAGAATCATTTCAGGGTAGGTAACCTGGAGTAGCTTGGGCCTCTGGTGAAGTAAGACAGTAACAGCAAGTAGTTGCTCTCACAACACCTCTTGGATTTGATGGGGTCACAGGTGTCCCCAAGCAGAATTTCTCTAGAGTTTGGTTTTATTCATTGCTGGGTCCCTGTTGTGTGAATCTGGGGTTCTTGAAGGCAGGAACTAGTAAAGCAAAGTCTAAGTCCATGAAGACTACACAGAACCAGTTTATAGTCTTTCCTTTGCAACTTTCCATTTTCCAGATCTAAGACTTCAAAACATGTTATGTTTTTGTGGTGATTTGTAGAATTCTTTGGAAATTTTTTTGAGAACTATTTTTCTATTGAAATATATCTATTCAAGTCATAAGAGCCTGTCAGTGTTTTTAAATTTTACTTTTTAAGAGGAAGGAAAAAAATAATTTTTAATGGAGCTGAAGCATGTGGCATTGGTCTACCTCTGACAAAGTATCTTGGTTTGCCATTCTGAATAACCTTTCATTTCAATGTAAAAATTATTTAAAAGAAAAAATTGAAAAACATATTAGAACAAAATGTTTTGACCAGTCCTGTAAATGGGATTCTTTTTTTTGTGGAAAACATTTGTTGTTTCTGTTTTGTTTTAAAATGAAGCAATTGCAAACGTACCTTTTTTCCTATAAAATGAAAATTACTTTCTACCTCATGGACTAATGTGATCTGGTCCAGCTGCTTTATGGATGGCTTCTTTTTACTCAAAGCTGAAATCAAAATTGAACTTGTGTGTTTATTGAAAAGTCCTTTCTTTTTCAACCTCTTGTGCCATCTAGTTGTCAGCCAGTGTGACATGCTGGAGTGAGATTCCATGGGATGACTGTCTTTGGCAGGGAAGCCAGAAGTTCTTGCCCACAGGCTCTCCATTCCTGCCTCCATGACTAAGTTTCTCCATCAGTTGTGCTCATAGAACTGGTTCTGGAGCTGTACTGTTAAGCGGGTCACTAAAATATTCTGGTTTAAAAGTAACTTTTTTCTTCTTTGAGATTTTTTAAAGTGAAATAGATACCAGTCTGGTTTTATAGTGTTGCCTCGGGGTAGTAGCAGCACAACTGAGGAAACAGCAAAGTACGGTGCATGGAAATGACTGGCTAAGGATGGAAGTGCGATGGGGCACTAACTTCAAAAATTGGCTTTGACCTCATGACAAATGTTCCATAGAACTACAGTCTGAAATGCACCATGAAAAGGGAGATTTGAGCTCATAGCTGATTAATAATTGTATTATTATGACTTATTTCAGAACATACATTATTTTGTTGCTTATAGTATTGAAATTGTATAGAACAAAACTATACACATTTTTTCAGTGTGTGTCAGGTTTAATGCCTTGGAAACTGTTTTTACATATTTACTTATGGCTGAAGCCAGTCAGTAGCATGAGATTGAGATAGATTGGTCATTAGTTACTTCCAAATTGATCTAACTGGTTTGTTTTTTTTTATTACTGTTACAGGGTCTTTTGCAAAATATTCAGTTAATCTTTGATACTTCAATAGAGGATGTTCTGCGTAAAAAAGGATGCCAGAGAAGCCAGTCAAGTAAGGCTTTTTTACCTCATTAATACTGTTCAGTTGACTCTGAAATGAGAAATGTCAGTGGTGACATGTTATTGTAAAACCATGCAACAGACCCCTTTAAAATGAGAAAAAAAATTGCTTTTTAGTGGTAATAGGAACATATTTTTTAGCTATCTTGAGATACTGTTTATACTCTCTAGCCTGCTATTTTAGTTCTTATTGTTCTGCGTCTCTGTTTTTAAATTGGGAGAAAAGCTGTCAGGAAAGAAATTAATACAAATAGAAGGAAAAATACATATGTATGAAAATATCTACTTTCTTTCATGAAATGTCCATAATCCTTTGAGCACATGACTAGGAATGTTGCTTCTGGATTCTGCTCCTGACTCTCAGTGGGCCCATGAACATGTCTGCAAGTCTTAAAGAATTCCTTGGCAATAGATTTGTTGACTGAAAGAGGCTTTGGGTTTGAATCCCAAAGCGTTGTTGATCAGAACAACCTCAGGAAAATAAGACGAATACAAAGAGGTATGGAAGGCATGTATATGACATGCTGCCATGTATTCTTGTTAGTCCAGTTCATGCTGTCCTCACCTGGAGGGAAGCCTCTGTATGTGGGAGTATATTGCTTTCATCATGAAAAAGAGTTGTGAAAATTTGTCAAGTATGCACTAAGGTTTTGTACTTGAGCTCATGGGAGGTGCTGGCTATTTTACTTTCCCATGTTTGTAACTGGCAAGAGCTCAGTCAAGAATCAGAGACAACTGAGTCCATCAGAGAAATGTGGTGGATGCACAAGGCAGTCAGGACTTCAGGGTTTTATTTGAAACTCCTGCCATCTGAAATACCATTATTTCTGTCACTTTGCTAAAATCTATGACATAGAGCAAATCAGTTAAACAAAATGTACTCAACTTTTTTCCTTGTTTATGCAAAACCTAGAAATTAAGTAGTAGCAGGTCTTGACTTCTTCAAAAAGGTCAGAGTATTGAGATTTTGTAATGAAAAGTCTCTATAGGATACATAAATGTGTATTTATATATGGGGGTGTGTATATATGTAAATGCACAAGAAAATTAACTGAGCTCACTAGTCTGTTTTTAAATCTTGATAAAGGGTATTGGTTGGTTATTTCATATGTTCCAGAGGTGTGCCCTGGTGCTGGACCTCAGACACAAGTGTGATGATCTGTTAGAAATGAGTCACATGAGCTAGAATGGAAGTGGCCTCAAATGGCACAGGCAAGAAGACATACCCTTGTTTGTTGGTTGACATCTCTCCCAGGCAAGCTGTTTTCTGTACTCCGAAACTACTGAGAAACTACTAAGAGCTACTTATTACTAGTTTTCAGCTTTGATAGTGGAAGAAAATGCTTGAGGAACAGAACTGCTATGGGAAAATAAAATGTGTATTTAGGTCTAATTGTAATCTGAATAAAAGAGAAGGATGGTTTCAGGAAGGATGGAGTTCAGCTATCCTGCTTCATTTACCAGTGGAAACAAAATTCTCAGAAGTCGAGGTAGAACCTTGAGGGCACATTCAGCAGTCAGAGGCAGAACAGTCTCAGTCATGAGGATGATATCCCTAGGTGTAGATGGATTGAACCAGCGAAACCAATGAAAGACAGTATCTGCCTATCTTTTTTGTTATTATTGGTTGATTACCACAAAGGGAAGTAGTGTGACCAAATGTTTTGAAAAATCACCAAGTAGAAATGGGATGTTACTGTACTTCTACTATGAAGAGGAAACCAATGGGAGCCTAAAGAGATAACCGAGTTCTTCATGCTGATACATACCTTAGGAGGAATTCTTGTACCCTCCAGCTATTGCAGCTATAACCAACAGATAATATCTTAATGCATTTTTAATCACATCTGTCAACTACCAAATTTTCAGGTCTGATAAATTACACAGATTTTTTTTCTTCATCCTTCCTGGGAAGTACTTAGCAAATAGTTCACTGTATATTTACTTTTGCTTTACAACACCAGAGGAACACTTCAAGATGGAAATTACTTGTATAACAATGGAAGAGAGCTAATAGCACGCTGTGGTTTGAGGCCATCAAAACGAGTTACAGGCATGGCTGATTTTCTGGCATTGCCTATCCAGCTTAATTACCACAGTTGAAAAGTCATGGGTGATACATTACTGACCACAAGTTACATATTTTCCCATATGGCACTAAGCTGCCACATTTACATGTGAGTGTCCCACGTGGCAGATGTTACCAGTGAAGTACCCTCATCTTTGAGGACACAAAAAGCCTGCTGCTTTTGCAGAGACAGAACTGTATTTTCCTACTGTATCTTTAATCCTATTATGAGAATGTGAGGTATGGTGAAATGGTAGCCTGGGATTGCTGTTGGGTTGAGGGTAGGAAAGTATCTCTGTCGTGCGGTGTCTGCAAATACTTTAGGCAGGACTTACACGCAGCCCTGGGTAGGAGAGATGACAAAGACACGCCTTAATAGGCACATCAATAAAATTCCTTCTTCAGCTAGATCAGCAGAATTATATTTGCATATGTGAAAGGATGCACATTCTGCCTTTCTGGTTTCTCATTTTATAGATAATCATGTCATCTTTAGGAAATTAGCAGGAAGCCAGCAGCAGAGAACTGATTTCCCAGTGATCCCCAGGCATCTTCTTTCAGTCGGTGCCAAGTACCAGTAGGAAGTGTGGATTTAGTTCTTCTTACATAGTTTTGGTTTATGTATTGCAGCTTTATTAATGTCCTCAGAATGTTCCGGTCAAGGCACACTCCATGTTGGCTTGAAAAATATGAAATTAATGACCTGAGAAGTGCTATGGGGGAATCTGAGAAACCTAGTGTTTTAATGCGGTTTAATGCGGTAGGAAAATGGCATTCTTTCCAGGGAATCAAAAAGCAGCTGAAGTAAACAGTTATGACACAGAGTTCTGATCTGCTGTGTGGTATGTTGATTTTCTCCCATCCTGTAAGTGAAGCTGGACAGTTACTTAACTCTGAAATACTGCGAATTGTAGACCTTGGCTAGCGGCAGATACTTCATAGCTAATTTAAAAGGACATCAAGCCAATCATTTTTAGTATGGTTGAGAATGTAATCTTAAGAGTTGGTTCTTTGTACTTTTATTTTTAGCCTTTTAAATAAATGAATACTTTTCTCCCATTTTTATTGCTTGTACATTTAAATATAACACTTTACATTGTATAGTCGAGTGTCAAGTCAAGCCCTCAAAGTTTTTGAACTGTTGCCACCTTCTGTGACTTGTCAACACTGAATGGTATTGGGATGTTTTGAAGCATATGTTTTATGGCACACATTCTGGTGCTAATTTCTTCTTTTTAAATTGCTATGTCCTTCAGTTCTCCTTTCTTTTTGGTAATGAATTATTACAACATTACTGAATCTGGTAGACAGGTCTTTATTGAGAGGCAGGGCAGTATTCATTTTTGTATAGCTGATACTAAAGTTGAGTTTATCTTGAACTCTTTAGGCAAAGAGTCCATTGAATCCATAAGATACTTATCTAGTGGAGATTTAAATGCTTAACAGAATGCAGACCATTTTATTTAGTTATCTATGTTAGTCTTATTAATTCCTGCATATGCTTTCTGTTATTTTCTCTTCCAAGAATTCGTTATAGACAGGGAGGTCTTTTAAACTAATACTAGAACGTGTCCAGCTCTCCCTGTATAGTGCATGCAATGTTCTCTTTTAATGATGATCTGCCTAGTGGAGGAGTGTTTGGAGTGACAAATAAAGTATTCAGCCTGATCTTTGCTTGACCTCCATTTCGCTTCAGAATTAAACTGTCATTATAACAGCTCCTCTGACTTTAACACCACACAGTGCAACATATAGTAGCCCACAGTCTGGTATAAATTGCATAATGGTCCAAATGTGATCCAAGTAACCATGAGATTTATGGGCAGAACAAGGACAATGACTTTCAGCAAGGAAACTCTCCTGCCTTTTGCTCTGCATAGAGAAAATGTGGTCGGTCTTGAAAAATCTGAAACCTTTCATGGCTCAGAGTGGATAAAATGGGTTTGCTTTTTGATACTGTTTCCTTTTGATACTGATTCTTTTGTTATGTCTTCTTCATAAATTAATATGTTGCAGTGCCAGCAATGTTTTAAAGTGAGGGACATATAAGACACAGCTTAGTTCTTGATTTTGAAAAGGGAAAGCCTATAATTGGAACCAGCTGACATTTAACCTCTCTTTTATTCATGGGTATAATCTAGCATGAAGCTGTGCCAAAGTAGATGTGTTTAAACTCTACTCATGAGTGCCAATCCGTGATTTCAACAGGAATCTGTAATCTGTGGAAGAACTTTGTATATGCAGTTCCCTCTTTTTATCTCTCTTACTACCAGCTGAGGTGAACACCATCAACGAGAGCACTGAAATCCTTCACTTGAGCCCTGCTGTCACAACTGAGTATGTGGGTGAGAAACCAGAGAAGAAGGCTGAGTTCTGTGACCGCTCTTGCGAAGAACTGGGATCGATGTTCACAGAGCTCACTGGCTTGCGCATAGTTGTGAACAACTTAGCCGATAACCTCCAAAAAGTGGTAGGTAACTTTAAGTCCGAAGAACTGAGAGGTCTGCTATGCAGTGCTGTTTCCTTCTTTGTTTTGTACCAGAGGCAGTTAATAGAGATTTCTGTATGTACATGTGTATACCTGTTGGTATATCTACATTATGTAGAGATGTCCTGCATTTTCAGAGTGATTAATTAGGTAGTTCTTTAGTATTACACTTTAATGAAGGCTTGGTTTTCACAGACTGGGTTTAAAAGAACATACACACATGCACTCATACACAGAGGAAATAATTTTTCTTAAAAGTACTGCAGGTTTGGAAATTGAAATCTAACAACCAGCCTTGCCTGCATGCTGTTGAAATGTTGTTACCATACTTATACTATTTATGAATACATCAGCAAGTGGCTACACAGCATACCTAAACTGTTAAGTAGATGTATGAGTTTTTCATAATTGAAGTAAGACGGTGACATGTTACTGAAGTCTGCCCCTCTTCTGTATAAGTTAATCCTTTCTGAAGGATGTTTATTACTATGCCATACGTCTCAGGACTAAAATCTTCCCATCTAAAGATGAGTTATATTGGAGGAAAGCAAAACTGCTAACTGCAGATCTCCCCTAGCATTGTGTGGCTGTGTTTGTACTTATAGCTGAAGAATTGCAATGTAGTATTGCAGTACCTTTTATGTAGATAAATGTGTAAAAAATACACTCTTTATTTTAATGGAAGAATTAAATCCAGTAGTCTCAGATTTGTCTTGTTTAAAGTAGTTTGCTTACAAAATACAGTTTTTTTTCATTTGCTTCATCTTCTAGTCTGAAGAGAACCAAATTATGTGGGAATTGATTGGGCCTAACAAAACACTGAAGAACCAGTCAGTTTGCTGGCAGGATGGCCGTGTCTTTGCAGATAATGAAAGCTGGATTGTAGATAGCTGCACCAAGTGCACCTGCCAGGTAAGGTTTTGGAAACATTCTTCCTCCCTGCAAAAAATGGATAGTGGGCTTACTTCAGGTCAGGTCACACTTATTCATAGCTTGGCCTAGGTTTACTGATATTTATAAAGACTAATCCCCATGTCCTTGACATTTAGAACAAATCAAAGAATTTCCACATATGAAAATTTCCCCAGATGCCCATTTTTGTTTGCCTAAGTATGTGACCATGTCAGTAAATTGATTTCTTTACCTGTAGGATTCTAAAATTGTGTGCAATCAAATCACCTGTCCAGCAGTCTCCTGTGCCAATCCATCTTTTGTTGAAGGCGAGTGCTGTCCAGTCTGCTCTCACTGTGAGTATTTAGCCAAAGAGAAGGATACTCTTTAGCAGTATTTAAAATCACTAATAGTGTGTTACAGAGGTCAAAACAAAAGGTTGAGGCAGGTTAAGATAAAATTTAAAAAAGTATGTGTTTAAAAGGATCATATGAAGTGACTCGGCTGCTTGAAGTTACCTTCTGTGGGAGTTGGTCTCTCTTTAATGTTTATATTGGTTGCTTAGAAGTAAGCCGATAACTAGCCTAGCTAGGTTGAACACTAAAGGTTAGATGCATACTCCTCCTCAGTCATGTTTTCCAAGGTTGGAAATTCTGAATTTTATTGGTTTGCAATAGTATTGTGCGCTATTTTTTCTTTTCCATGCTACCTGGTTAAAACAGACTAACATAGGTTAGGATTGTCTCCTTGTGGAGGATGTTTAAGTTTCAGATCAAAAGTTTCGTGCAGTTTGATGCAGTATTTTTTAAGAGGGCAAGTTATTCTTCCTTTCTGCTATTGTTATCCTGTTACTTTCTTTTATTTATTTTCTGTTATATATCTTCTTTTGCTATAATGAGTTACTTATATGGAACAGATTGTCAAGGTTCATTTAAGGCAGATTACAGGTTATGAACTAGACTTTGAAGTGAAAATAGATTTAGTAATTTCACTAATTAAGAGATATCAGTTTGGGTTCAGTGTATTTCACCCTGTACTAGACAGGTCTGTTAGAGAAGAAAACGGTTGCTTAGTTGTTCTGAATTAAAATGCATTGGAATAGGTTTTTGCCTATTCAGAGCACAGGACATGTTCTAACAATGTGATCTTGATCATGTTCACCATTATGTTGTGTTCAGAGATGAGGCTGCATCTCATGATAGTGACCTATGTCCTGGAGTCAGAGACAGTTGGAGCTGGAGTTTTTGGCTCAGTCCATTCTAGAGATAAGATACTCTTCTTCCAAAAGTCAATGCCTCGTGCAAACACACTGCTCGCAAGGAAATTCATCAACATCTAAGATTCTTATCTGAGCTAACGTCTCATTACATTAAACCATAATTCCCTAAATTTGGTGACAGATTAGGAAAGCAAAATTAGAAAATGAGAGATCTAAAGGACAAACCATATGTCCTACAGAAAAAAGAGAAGTTAAAATATTCGGAATAGGATAATAGAGCGATTTTCAATGCTGAGCACTTTTTTTTGTCCCTTTTGCTCTGCAGCTGATGACAGTGACGAAGGCTGGTCACCGTGGTCAGACTGGACAAAGTGCTCAGTTACCTGTGGCTCTGGGACTCAGATGCGAGGAAGGTCGTGTGATGTCACCAGGAGTGCTTGTACAGGCCCCCACATCCAGACAAGGATGTGCAGCTTTAAGAAATGCGACCATCGCAGTAAGTAATAAAATTTCTTCATTTTTAAAGCATCTTTGGACTTCTCTGAGCAAAAACAAGCTTAGTCTGGATTTCCTATGAATACTCGCTAGTCAGAACAGTATGTATTTGGACACTCATATATACATAATTGAAATAGCTATCATTAGATTCTTTATCATCTCCCCCCTTTCAAATATTTGTCTTTTTTCTGAGAATCTAATAGGTATGTACATTCTGGGCTCAGCTCTGTTAAACACAAAGTTAGTGGGTGATCTTTTCTTTAACATTATGGACTGAAGTCTCTGACTTGAAGTCAGTTTGAGGACAACACTCAGTTCATAATCATGATACATGGGGCCATGCTTCGCTCTGCCATTCATTCATGATTATTGGCACATTCCGTTAACTTACTAGTTTTTAGGAATACAGTAATAATAAAATACTTTTGCAAAATATTAACTGCTTTTATATTTAGGGGCTTTAGAAGGATCATACTCTGTCTCCAGAACTTTAGTTAATACTATTTCAGGTAGCTGCTATATCCAGGCTAATATAGTACCTAAGTCTACTGCTGAAGCTGGTAGATTAACAAATGTACATTTTAAACAAGTATATTTTTCATTTGAACCAGTTGTTGTTTTTTTAAAGTAGAATATCTAACATCCGTGTTAATCATATGTTGGTCACATAGATTCTTAAGAAAGGTGTACTTGAATGTCTGAGCTGACAAGCTGGGCTTTGTAAGTGACACTGGTAGAAAAGAGATGGGACATTCATCAGAAGTAGTGAGAGGCTTATTAGAAGGTTAACTTCACAAGCGAGTTTGTGTTACTCCTGCAGGTGGGCTATTTCCTTGAGTTTTGCACTTTTCTCTGGCAGTACGTCAAGATGGCGGCTGGAGTCACTGGTCTCCCTGGTCTTCTTGTTCAGTTACCTGTGGAGTAGGAAATATCACCCGCATCCGCCTCTGCAATTCCCCTATCCCCCAGATGGGTGGGAAAAACTGTGTGGGAAATGGGCGTGAAACAGAGAAGTGTGAGAAGGTTCCATGTCCAGGTATGTGTGTGGTCCTGAATCCAATGACGCAATAATATTCCAGCTGAATTTCTTCTATTTATTCAGGTCTAAATGACAAGGAATTTCTATAGCAGAAAATATAATTTGTAGCATAGGTGTGAAAAAACACACAAGGGTGTTTTTAAAATGAAGATACTAATGCAGCTGGAGGTTTTGTAAACCTCCAAAGCTATGATTTGGCTTTAAACATGAAGAGTTTGAGAAATTTTTATTTTAGAACTTAGTGATTTATCTCTGCATATCAAAAATATCAACGCTTTATAACTAAAAGGTACTGATACTGTACATGTTGGGAATATCAGTCCCCCAACAGCCAGGTTTCTTGGAAACACATTTCAACACATTTAATTGTTACTGTAATTATTTCTTCCTCATCTACACTTTGAACATTTTTAGAGACCATCCATTTCACTCACTTTCAGTTTCTTTTCATATAATTTTTTCTTAACTTTTTTTTCCCCTCCTCTGTTAACTTTTTTTTCCCCTCCTCTGTTCAGCCTTTTCCTTTTACTTATGGGATATGAGCTTGAAACTGATGTCAAGCTTCTGACCCACTAGTTCTTAAATAGCTATACACACTTCATCTGTTTTTTATGTACCTTTGCATGCATAGTTAATGAAAAGGTTATTTATTTAAGCACATACACCATTGCCTTTATGTGGTTTTTTTGCAGTACCAAGACAAACACAGAGTCTCGTTCAAATATGTTTATATTTCAAGAAAGTTCAGGGTGGATGACAACAGGATCAATAGAGTTGTACCAATATAAAGTATGCAGAAGAATCAATGATAAGTTCTTCATACTGAGTCAGGCAATACTATTGAAGATACGCTGATGAGTGGATTATCAAACAAGAATAATAGATGCAACCTTATTGAGCATATTGTTTTCATAAAAAAGCCATAGAGCTTAAGTTTGGCTCAGCAGAAGTTTGTATCCTGTGGTTACACCCTGCTTTCTGTATGAAATTAAAGCTTAGTAGGGAGCTTTGAAGGCACCATACTTGTTCTGATCAACTTAAATAGAAATACACCATGCCAGTGGATATGGCGTGTTATTTTGAATTATTGACCAAAAAATACCTATAAAGCAGTTGAGTATTTTTCATTTGTTTATTTGTTTCTGAAATATTGCTCCCTCAGTATAAGGCTTTGCCAGCACCTTTTTTCCTATGTGCATAGTGAGAAACTGTCCCTAGTCAGGGATCTGAAGAAAGGGTTGTTTTTGTTATTAACACCAAATATTGTCCCAAGTATATTCACTATGATGCTTTTCTCCTCTCTTCTGCATATCCTAGTGAATGGCCAGTGGGGTCCTTGGTCTCCATGGTCTGCCTGCACAGTTACCTGTGGAGGAGGAATTCGTGAGAGGTCTCGCCTCTGTAACAGCCCAGAGCCACAGTATGGAGGAAAGCCATGTGTGGGAGATACCAAGCAACATGATATGTGCAATAAGAAGGATTGCCCAATTGGTTGGTATTTAGTCATTCTTTATTCAGTCTGAATAATTATTGTTGCTGTTATTTCTTTAATTGATAATTATGAATTGACACTACAGAAATCTACCAATTATACTTTTGTTTCAGGAAAGCACATTTAACTATTCTGGGTGCTATTTAAATCAGCATTTTATATATATTCTTAATACTGACAATCTATACAAGGATGGGTTTTCTAAACAGGGCTTCAATATGTTGTAATGTATTCAACTGGATGTAGCAATCTGTAATGTTTTCATATTAAATTGATAGTATGTTAAATGCATATAATAACCCTGATTCTAAGGGGATTTATAAGAGTATGTTGCTTCAGATGTGATTAAAGCTAATGAAGAGAAAATACCTGTCTCTTAAATGAAGAGTTACATGCCTTTTATACTCCTAACTTAAGTTACACTTTCGTTTGTCTTTGCCAGATGGGTGTTTGTCAAATCCTTGCTTTCCTGGAGCAGAATGCAACAGTTATCCAGATGGGTCCTGGTCATGTGGACCATGTCCAGCAGGTTACCTTGGCAATGGTACCATCTGTGAAGATCTTGATGAGGTATTGACTTGGTTTCCATTAACATCAGGAAATCACTGTGAAATTCTCATTATTTGGGTATTACATAGCCAGCTAATTAATTTCTTCTTTCTTTTCCTGCAGTGTATTGCTGTGTCAGACGTTTGCTTTAAGGTCAATCAGGTCCATCGCTGTGTGAACACAAATCCAGGTTTCCACTGTTTGCCGTGTCCTCCACGCTATAAAGGAAGTCAGCCCTATGGGGTAGGGCTGGAAGTTGCCAAGACAGAGAAGCAAGTAAGTGATGTCACAGAGAATTTCATGGCTTTGAAACTGAGTAATTCTCACCTCAAAATACCTGTGAATGGAAGTATGTGATAAACTTGGGCATCAAACAAAGGTAACCTGAAATAGATAACTGCTGTTCCAGGATACTTTTATTTTGAGTCACAAAATACTGAATTTGGGGTTGGTTTATTTTTTTAAGGGTTTTGTTTTCTCTAGGCATCTGCACAGTTGCACCAAATAAGTGTAAAATTCCAGGAGCAGGCATTTCCCTGCTTTGCACCCCTTTGTCTTAGATGTAAATAACTACTCTGAGGATGGGAAGCTGAAGAATCAGGATCATTCTCTCCAGAAATATAATGCTGTTAATCTGGATGCCATCAGACATACATGTGAAATCTCACTCTCTAAATTCCATTGGGCGAACACCTATCAGTGGTGAAGGTCTGAAGGAAGTGGAAGTGATATTGAAGACTATTGTTTGATAGACAACACAGAAACTCTAAAATGGATGCCATGGGCTGCTTACTCTTTGTTGCTGTTGAATCAATCAGTGGTTAGTTCACCATGTGAAGTCTAAATGTAAAACATCTGTGTAAGATTCTCAGATACTGTCTATGAAAATAAGCAAAGTGATAAGAAAGATGTAACTAAAACTTACTTGAGGGGAACATGCGAATTCATTAGAGTCAAGATAGGTCTTGCATATCGACAGGCAGAACACTAAAGGAAAATGGTGAGTACAGTCTGATTTCTGTTGCAGTTAATTTCTGGGAATTAATGACATCTGGAAGAAAGCAGATAGAGTGCTGAAAATGTTAATCACTTTAATTACTTTTGAATAATGTCCAATTTTTCTTGTGGTTTGTTTTAATTATTTGCGTTGTACACATTGTCTGGAGTTGTAAACTGACAGAGCAGTGTAACTTACTAACCACAGTTAAAACCAAGTTCCTGTCTTTAGGCATCTAAATAACTGGCCTGATTTTGACAAAGTTGAGGCACACACAGCTGGCTGTGAATATCATCAGGTTTCACTGAGTGTATTCTTATCTGTTACAGGTCTGTGAACCTGAGAATCCATGCAAGGACAAGACACACAGCTGCCATAAGTCTGCAGAGTGCATCTATCTGGGCCATTTCAGTGATCCTATGTACAAATGTGAATGTAGGACAGGTTATGCTGGTGATGGACGCATCTGTGGTGAGGATTCAGATTTGGATGGCTGGCCTAATAATAACTTAGTCTGTGCTGCTAATGCAACATACCATTGTGTGAAGGTAAGTAAAAAAGACTGATAGAAATGCCACACGTAACCAAATTTTCTCTTTTTTCCTTCATAGTTGAGAATAACACTTTTCAGCATCAAGCTGGTGGTTGTGTTCACTTAAGGTTTGACTGTTAAAACATGCTCATTTTTTAAGAGATGCTGTGAAGTGTGTATTCATTTAACATTTAATTCAGGTGGAGATTCTCAGAATGATATTGAGAGTCCTCTGCTTTGGATTTCTTCCAACTCAGTGTACACAGAAGGTTGGAAAACTTGTGCATAGAGTTTGCACACCAAACAGGAGCTGCCTAAAGCACAGGTGTGGAGCACACAGCTAGTGAGAACTAAATTGAAATCTCTGGGAGCAGGTGAGTATGAAATCCTACCTGCAAGGCTTGTAACAAGACACTGACAGCCACGTAAGGTCTACAGCCCTCAATCCTTTCTTGAACTACTTCCTTTTAAAGAGTTAAGTAGGTCACACTCTGTGAAAACTGGATTCAGAGCCTGAGATAATTCTTGGCAATAGAGACCTAAGAGAGGAATGAGTATGAGTAATTAGACAAGGGAATTTTCCTTAGTGCAAAAGCTCAGTTTGAGAATATGAAAGATTCAGCCTCTCTTACCCTTCAGAGATGTGGGGTCCCAGCTCTCACGCTTACAAGGGTAATGGCCTGCCTGCCACTATTTGCTCTAGGTCTGGCAGAGGGCTGTTGTTCACTACTGCTGCTGCAGCTGTGCCATTGTAGTGAAAAATGAAACATTACTACACCAAGGAGAAAATAAGCATCAGGGAGCCTAAAAATGGTGGTATATAGGTTTAGCAATGTGTGCCCACCATGCTGTGTTCCCTGGGACCTGGTTCTGTGCTCATCTGAAGTACACTGTAAGTCCTTGGCTCCACAACCAGAGGTTTCTTCCAGTGGAAATTGCTCAAAATTGGTGAGCCCACTTGGATGTCTCATCCTGATGCAGTTACTTTGCTGTGCGGAACCAGGCTGAAAGTTGTTTGAGGTCCACCATTTTGACAATGGCCCAAATAGCTGAGGAGTGAAGGCACCCCCTGACAGGTAATTCCCTGGATCCCGATTCTGAGTGGTGGCCTCACTTAGTTGAATGACAGGCACAATACAAAGGGGCATACGCTGTTAGCAGCAGCAAATTAAAGGAACTGGGATGAAGTGAGCTTTATCTGAGCAGAAGGCATAAGCAAGTGCTCAGCTTTAAACACCTACCAGTGGGACCACTGATGACACTGGATTACCTACATGCTTTCACTAGGGTAAGTGCTCAAGTATTTTGCTAAATCAGTTGTGACTACAAGAACAATGCTTTCTCCCCTGAGTTTTTTAGGGTTTTATTTCCCCCCCCAGACCTGAAACATTTTGGAATCTCCTCCATGTTAAAGAGAACTACCTCTAAACTCTCATGAAGTTCTAGCACAATGCCTTCTGCTTAAAGATGAGGAAGGAATTACAAAAACGACTGAGTTCTGGATCACTACAGTGATTAAAAAAACCACAGCAAATACATACCAAGAGACTGGGAAAGTTTGAAATCAGGCTGTTTGAGAGAATCAGAAGTCACTCAGGTGTAACTTGAAGTTGTGAATCTGGGCTTTATCAGCAGAAGAGTCCAGTCACAAGAGACCAGTCACAAGCAGCGTTTCCCAGGGTTCTGTTTTGGTGCCAGTCCTGTTTAACATCTTTATCAATGATCTGGATGAGGGGATTGAGTGCTCCCTCAGCAAGTTTGCACATGACACTAAGTTGGGAGGGAGTGTTGATCTGCCTGAGGGTAGGAAGGCTCTACAGAGGGACCTGAATAGGCTGAATCAATGACCTGAGGCCAACTGTATGAGCTTCAAC